GTCATGACCGTTGAGCCGTTACTGGCATACCGATAACGCTAATACCAGATAATTAAATCATGGCTGACAAGTCATGAGCTGGAGGATGAGCGGGGTCATCTCCAACAAGTCTAAATCACTCAGGTGTAGATTGACTACAAGTGCTACCAAGTGCAGCAGGGCTGTCGTAGCTTAGCGCTTGAGGAAGCGTAATTTAGGTCACCGAACTTTCGTTCTTTACAAGAACCAATACGAGTGTAGCGGATCGCAATTCGCTAACTCCAAGAGTAGTTACCACCTTAATCAAGGCTAGTAAACTTTTCGGTTTGAAGTCAAAACTATTTCTTATTTATTCTTATCTGCGGCTAATCGCCTAATTTTAAATGTATAGATTTTACTAAATATATGTAAAAAAATTTAAACACATTGGCACGTGTGACACACACCCCTGTTACCAGGGTACGTGTAACCCCGTTACAGACTCGTCATCACAAAAATATTCGGATGGTATTGTTCGAATAAACGTGAAATACATTTTCAACCTCAACGTTGGACACCAGTGAAAGCAAAAAGTCTCAAAGTTGAATAGTGTGACAGAATGCGAATACATTACGAAAAAAAACATACCACGCAAAAGTCCATTTCTATATATATAATGTTAATATAGTTTTTTTGAAAGGAACAAATTTTTAAAATTGAATTTTTATAACTTAGCTAAATGCCTTAGTAAATAGTGCCAGCGACTTATATCCAAATTGTTTCACTCCCCATCATGTAAGCCCGAAGGAGATCATTTATTATTTGTCCGATGAAAATGAGTGTCATTGCAGCAAACGCTACCACTGTCAAGTGCCAAGTCGAAAACACTTCCAGCGTTGAAAGGGTCTCGGCAGCCACAAAGCTAAAAGGATCCCGTTGAATCATGTCATAAACACTTAAAGGCACATGGACCTGCTCGATTGCAAAGTCTTCATTACGGTTGATGATAATTCCGAGAGAGCTCTACAGGAAGGCATGACCCTATCAGAATGTAGCCACTTTACCAATAAAAAACGATAATTATACCTTGTCAGGCATGTAACGGAATACATCAAATGCTATATCGCCAGCCTTTAAACTAGTGACAAGATGCGTCAGGCATTCAACATATCAACCAGAAGAGCAAGTCTACTTACACAATAAGCGTGCTGCCACCAATCTCAGTTTCATTATGCATTGGAGGAAGGTTCTGCTTTCGAATCCAATTGGCGTTTAGATAAACCCACTTAAGCGCGCGGTTGACTTCATTGCGAGACGTCAAAATTTGAGCCGGGTTTCTAACATTTAAATAGTAAAACGGATTAGCCAAGCTTGACAAGAGTATGCTGATATTTGCTTTCAATGCACCTGGTTCCGACAATCATGGGCAGCACAAGCGTAATGGCTTCATACACGAGCGATCGGGCACGATTTCCCATTCGATGGTTTATTTCATGATCTCGAGTGCGTCCTCGCTGATCTCGCTTAGTTCGCCTGAGACTTGCATGCAGCCAGAAACGCGCAGACTCGGCTTTCAACATGCTATTTACTCTAGAGCACGTGGCTCGCACCACTAAAAGATCCTCAGCAGTCAAAAAATGAGCGACTCTAAACTGAATTTCATACGGAAGGCTAAAAAAGAGGCTGTCTTTCTGGAGACTGCATTAAAAAACAAGGTCAACAAACAACTAAGGTGTTTCTATCTCAGGTCAAAAAGTGATAACATTTCAAATGACTTACTTTTGTGCTAGCTTTGCTGAGGCATTCGCTATCAACCTGCGTTCAGCTTTCGCAACGTACTCCATCGTCAGCTCTCCAGAAACGCATGCGAGAATACCTGTCGTAGTGCCAAATTGGATAGCAATCAAAAGATCTTCGGGCCATATAAGATTGTACGATAGATACCAGCCGCAACAGAGCGAAGCTACTTCCATCCATGATCGGCATGTATGACAAGTAAAATTCATTTTAAAGAACAACAAACGCTCTTGGAGAATCATACCGACCTTGCGTGTGGGCGTCCAGATGACAAACATATCACCAATAAGAGCAAATATAACACCGCTAGTAGTTGCGAGAACGAAAGCCACTTCGATACGGCGAAGGTGCGTATAAATAATGTTAAAAGCCACAGCCCCAACGAGACCCAAAAGACCCATTACCGGCAGGGGCAAAATTTGGGATTTCTCCAGTACTTCTCGATCTGATTCTGCAAACAAGAGCGAATTCTGTTGTGAGCGACAATGTTGCGCTTTGACGAATGACAGAATATAAATAACGACTTACCATTTAGCGGTATTGATCGTGCGCAATTTCGAAGCTGCTCTCCGCCAAGTGTTACCAGTATTCCCGAAAGAGTACCTACTTGAACAGCAACGATCAGATCATCATAAATTGCGTGGCTGCCATAGATGACACCCATAAAGCAGCCTAGCTCAACGAACGATCGCACTGGGTATTCGCGCCAGTTTTGTTTTACATTGATAAATCGGTCTTGTAAGATCACACCAGCCCACCTTGTTGGTTTAAATAGGACGAGCATGTCAGCGAAACACAAAAAAGCAATGCCAGCGATCGTTGCAAGCAGTACCGTGACTTCAAGACTTCGCATATTATCAAATATCCAATGAAAAGTACCTGACCCAATGTATGCAAACAAAAGCATTACAGGTAGTGGTCGCGCACGATCAGGATCACCAACAAGACCTCCAACTGGAGAAAGCGGGGCTGCAACTCTTTTTTCATCAGCAAGATAATCCTTGCCCCAAGGAATAAATTTCGATCGATTTTTTCGAAAGAACTCGCCCGAGAGGGTGACTGCGATTCCAGAAAGTGTACCAAGTTGAAGTGCCAACACGAGATCATCATACATTGCAAACGAACCACAAATGACTGCAAACCACGTGAAGAGCTCCAAGAACGAACGCAAAGGCTCCTGTTGCCAGTTTTCGCTAGCGTTTGTCACCCGACGTTGCAACAGCAAACCAATTTCACGAGTTGGTTCCCACATTAAAAACAATTCGCTTGCTGCCAAAAAGAAAATACCAGCAAGAGATGCGAGACAGAATGCCGCCTCAATACTGTCAAAATAGTGATAAATAGAAAAGAGCGATATCATCGAAGCGTATGTGATTAGAAACAAACAGAAGAGCAACGCACACGTCGCAGTTAGCTGCATCCGCATGTGCGTCTCAACAGTTAATTGGAGATGTGAGCAGAGCCAATGACCCCCCACAGAGACAACCAATCCTGAAAGCGCAGCTAGTGTGATGGAGCTGAATACCGTGGACGAGGCTGCAAAAGTTCCCACAAAAACTCCAAGAAACACTAGCGCCTCGACAAACATGTGAAGTGGAAAAATCACCCATTTGTTCTTAAATTGCTGTACACCAGTGTACAGCAGTTCTGCAGGATGTAACTCGTGCGGAGCTGGACTCGTCAAATATCCGACGGATGCTGACACCACAACATTAATGGCGGAATACTGCGAAAGTGACAACGACAATCTATCCTGTTGAATGACAGCGAAGAATGTCGAACAAATGTCTAGTGTCGATACGACCATGATACCCACAAATGTCCATTTAAGTCGTCTATAAAAATGAAAATATCGTGCTTTCACAAAGCTTAGAACACGAGTAGACCACGAATGCGAGACATCGGTCATCCAAGCTGTATTCACAATTAAAGTTGAAACTATATCTGTACCCTCTGGCGGCCTTCCAATATTCTCAAGAACCATTTCGTCGATCAATTCGATATCATCCCAACATTCGCGCGAAAACGCGATACAAAATGCGGAGAGCACACAAGAGAAGATCACTCCAGACCATCCATAAGAGACTTTAGGTGCGATAAGTGTGATAAGCCCAACACAAATTTTAGCTGCTAATCGTCTTCCAGAACGAGTTACTTCCAGTAAAGACGGTTTTCTGCCGGATAACGCGAGACCAGTGAGCATAATTGCAGCTATGGCCACGAAGCATAACATCAAAACTAACGAGCTTGATGGTTGATTTGCAGCACGCACGATCGCAGCGTAAAGTTGCAAGGCGAAGTAAAGCATCATGACAATTACAGGAATAAGCTTGACCCAATGGTCTGCCGGCATCTCCACGGCAGCTTGTGGACTAGGTGGACTCACGAAATGTGACGTACATGCTGAGGCCAAGAGCTCGCTCCCTAAGATAAGAAGGACGCCACAGCAAGTTCCAAGCTGCAACGATACGAGCATATCTCTTGTTGAGCTATAATATAGGATCGTAGTGCCAAAAGTTCCTGTGACTTCAACTAGCGACCGTAACGAGTGTTGTTCCCAATTCTTTCGAGCGTCTACTATCCGACTTTGAAGAACAATACCAGCTCGTCGAGTTGGCGTACATAAGAGTAGTAATTCACTCGCAATAATGAGTGAGGCGCCCACGAGAGTTATAAGCAGATAATTAAAAACCAATTGATGAAGTGACTCGAGTTGTTGCTTCGTTTCTTCTTGTCCAAAGACGTAAGTATGAAGCATTCTCCCTGTATCAGATATGATGTACCCAACGCACCCATAAGAGAGAGCAACCTTCAGCCAAAGCATACCCCCGATACTTTTCATATGTTGTGGTTCCTGTTTCGTCTCGAGCAAGTATAGACTTGCTGCTAAAAAGTCACTTACGAAAGCAAGTACAGCTGCCACCAATGCTCCTGCTAAGATGGCAATCCAGCTAGAGTGTGTCGTTATATATAGCAATAATACAATCGCCATCCATGTACAGACCTCTAGAAATAATCGACGCTTTTCTCGGGGCCACGAGCGTGGATTGGAGCGGTCTAGAAGCAGCTCGCTTATGTATTTTGTGCTGGAAACTTTTCGTAGCAAGTGACAAACACTCAGGTAGCAGATGCCCGCACTCGAGACCAAGAAAATTCCGCCTACTAGATCGTATATACGCCGCGGCAGCCCTCCACGCAGCAGAGTGATCCATGAGATCAACGCTAGACTTCCTTCTAATATCATCACACCGTGGCTTTGTGATCGCTTCGTACGTCTCTGTGTGGGTTGCACGGGCGCCAACTTAAAGGAAGAGAGCAGCAAATCGCCCAGCTCATACGTAGGTGCACTACGATCACTTACTTTAGGCCACGATGCTGCTACTAAAGCCTTGACTTGAGGCGTACGCGTGATTGATGGCGAGACAGATGATGTACGAGCCATATTAGCTGCGTGTTTTAATATGAGATATGCACTGCTCGTGATTTGCGTTAAGTTAAAGGATAACAATGGAAGATGAGGAGTTAAAATGCTGGTAACAAGATTCGCGACATCCTGTTACGTCTTACAGTATTTTAAGCAATACTCCATACATTGTGGTTCTGCAGGTTTCGTTTGCGATGGCTACGTCGCGGCGAAAAGTCTTGGCATAATTTTATGTCTATCGCTTTTCTCCTCAAGTGTTCGTTAAAGAGTAATAGACACAAACATGGCAGCTTGCGATACCCTTCGTTCAGGTTTAAGAGATATAAACTTTCATTTTGACGTCTTGTCTGCGAAAGAGATGCGACCGAAGAGAAAAGAACGCAAGTGTATATGCTCAGATTATTAGCTAAACAAGGTGCAAGCTCATATACACACAAGAGTCTGACCACTTTTGTACTGTTATCAGCTCCTTAGTCTTCTAAGTGTCGAAGTGTGTGATGTACTTGTACTTGAGACGAAAAGGACGTAAAATTTACGATGCTAGCTTACGCAGCTAACTCGACCGTCTTGCCACTTGCCTTAGACCACTTAAGCAGCGCCTCCAGCATTGTATTTGTATCGGCATCGCCCTCGACTAGAATTTGTTGCTTCTCGATGTCGCACTTGACATCGGTCACGCCTGTCAGCAAGGGAAGCAATATGAGAAGAAGCGAGTGAATGAAGACATTAATGGCACAAACCTTCAATTTTCGTAAGAATGCGCGTACAGGCGCTTGAGCAGCCCTCACACGTCATGCCCACCTTAAATTCCGTTACCTTTGCCATAAGTGAAAATAGCTTAGTGGTCGCTTGGTTAATTAGGTTGTGCGCAACCCAGGAACCCCTGGCGTATGTCGGAGTTAGAGAATGGTCTCATCTCTTGTCACCCCTTCATATCTGTTCACTTTAAAAAAAGCCAAGATGTGGGTACTGAACTCAAGATTACGAAATAAAAAATATATCGAACTTTAGAAAACTAGGAGCTACACCCAGAAATGATTCTATGAGAATTAAAAAATATCGAAGAAAAAAACTTGGACATTGGGGCACTTGATACATGTATATACGATCATTTACTGTAATATATAAAGCTTGATTTTCACGTAAGAACAAAAAAGTATCAAGAAACTTGAAAGGCTGTTAATTCCGCTTTTGGTTGGAGCGTACAAAGTCGTCCTTAGCGCGACATTAACGTGGACTTTTCGACTCAGAGCATCCTCTGCGCGACAGCCCTATTGTGCTAGGTACCACTTGTCGTCAATACCACGATAAAGTGTGTCTTGTGTCATGATGGAGCATGAGAAGTTCGCTGATCTGTCCTCAGGACGACTAGACACGCATAGTAATATCGATTGCCTCGAAGCGATGAGGCAATTGAAAGTCTGAGGCATAAAAGTAGAAATTGCTGGCGTAAAGATGCTCGCCAAATAATGTGGATGCGCTAATGAAACACCTATTTAACCAGGCGTCGATGGTTCTACACTACAGCGCGTTGCTCTAGTCATCTTTGCCCGCGAAGGGCGCGCGCGAGAATGGTCGCTAGCGTGGAGCACATTTGTAGAAAACAATTATGTTCATTAAAAGCGTCACAATGAACTATGTCATGAATGTTCGTTTTGTCTACCCATCAAGGGGAGGCTAGTGCTAGCAGAATATTCTCCTGCGTTGCTAATTCTCGTTCTCGTCACCGCGATGGCTCTAGATCCTATCCCGAAAACGGTAACATAACAAGCTTTGGGAAAGGTCGAGGAATTTGCGCCGAGACATTTCACTTTCACCATACTTTCTCTTAGAATGCAAAGGATGTTGTTTTAAACGCAGAACCCAATTACCATGACGCTAGGGTTAGTTGGAGCAAAGGAAGTGAAAGCTCTGCGAGCGTACCTGCGGGAATGGTTCAGTCATGTTGTGAGGAAAAATTGTGACTCTTCGCCGCCGTATACTACCGACTCGAAAATATTTTTGGATTTATACTTATCCGCGGATAATACCCACATGTGTACATCCTTCTGAGAGGATCAAGCAGCCAGGGAGAACCCTCCGAGATACCCCTCGCAAAAAAAATGTCGGTTCCTGGCGGTGCAGGAACGCCTGCGGAATAGGCCTGGAATCAATTATTCCTCGCGTCAATAAATCTTATTCCAAAAAGGGATCGGCTGTTCGAGATAAAAAGGCTAGGATTGTTGGTTGCCAGTTTTAACATCCTGGCTTTGCAGAGCCGTAAATTCTCGAGCATTGTGCATTTTGGCACGACTCCTTTGAAAGTAGACAATAGGTGGAAGTGCTTACAAATCAAATACGGACATCAAATTGAATCGTTTTGCGCCAGGTATAATTTCTGGATTCATCGGTGAAAATCTAAGAATTGACAACGTGGAACATTGTCTTGCAGAATCGTATTTCGGTGTGGCGTGGCTTAAAGCTCAATAGCTATTGATGCACTGGAAGTCGGAAACGTTTAATAGTTTGCGCTTCGCAATTCTGGAGTATAACAACTAGGGAGCAGAATCTCTTTTGGTGCGATATCTAAGCTATGATGTCCACGGTGACTTTTTGGACTGATGTAAAGGGAACCTTATTAAAGTAGAAAGGAAGAGCTGGCAGACACCTTGTCCCAAGATGAGCTAGCCGATAGCGTTCGTATTTCAGGCATATGAGTGCCGAGAACATGATGTACGATAGTATTCGTTACCCACAGACTTACGTTTGCAAAGTGATGCAAGGCTGTCATTGAAAAGGCACAGCTTGTAGCAGAGGTAAGCTGAGCTTGTCGTTTGTCAAGGATCAGATCACCATAAAGAATTCATGCATCGCATTATATGCGCGAAGTAAGGCGGCTATCTTAAAATGATGAAAAAAAATTGTAATGTAGAAATATCACATCATAAAAGACCCGCTATGTGTTGCTCTCGCATCAAGACGTGCTTCGTGATATTGACATGAACTGTCATACCAAAAATTTATGACCAGATAAAAGTCAGTTTTACAAAGAAAGAGTGACGTTATACACACTTTCCTTCGTGCTAAACCTGCAGCGAGATTCGAGAGGATAGTTGAACTACTGATCAGCGCGCTGACATTCTGATCAGAACAGCAAACAAAATTGGCGAATAATGAAACATAAAATAAGCCCAATGCGGACATGTTTTTGGCTCAAACGCCGATTGTAAGAAGGACGTGCTGCAGAACAGCATAGTCATTTGCAAGCGGTCATTGTTATGGCTGAGTGAAAAGCTTGGATCAACTTCCCATTGGGGACAAGTAATGCGGTGAGCACTCCGTGCGGGATGCTCCAAAAGTGGTTGGCTTTTCTCAAAGATTGTCTGACGTTTTACCGTCTGGTGTCGCATCTATTAAGCAACATCATGTCTGTACAAGCTTATTTAAAAATGCACTTGAATGCTCCGCTTCTGTGCTGTCATACCCACATCTGAATACGCCGATAAAGTTATCCAAAAATAAAATAATTTATGACTTTTCGTATACATGGGCATCTATCTCGCCGACACTTTATTCATAGTCGTGCAGAGCACAGGGAAGCAGACGTCAATTTCTACGCTAAGCACTTGCAAGCAGAGCTCAAGTTTTTATGTAAATTTATACTGTTTACCTGTAACTTTGGCGTTGCTTAACGTCCATCTTAGGATTGCTTACTTGTAATTAATGGGGAGGGTCGTCCCCGTAAAAAGACCTTGATTTGAAAAACATTACGAGAGCTGAGGATCCACTCAGGAATGTGGGTAGGTATCGCTAGGACCATTGTCATATAGATCCGGCCATATCTTGTTGTGTCAACAACCTGTTTAATTTTAGCAAAAGTTGCTGACATGGGACGACCCGACACTAATCTCTTATAATAGTGTGGTAGGAGTAGCATTCTTCATGGCGGATGAAGAAAACTTACGAGTGCTTTGATCGTGGCTCTTTTGAATCCAAATCGACCATGCTATGTCGTCTGTTACGCTTTGGCTCTTTGCTTTTCTTTTGTGATAGGCTGGATTTTATTCCAAGCAGATGACCATGAGCAAAAACGCGTCGTCGCACTTGAAGCGGTAGAAAGAATTTTTCCAATTATGACAAGATGCTATTTGTTTCGAAGTATGCTCTTTTGTAACTCAGGGTGCGGCTGCTGACTCTGAATCACATGTGGATCAGTACATTCTAAGTTTATTTGTATACATCGACGTCGGCATTGAGCGTTTGAAAGACACTGCCATGAAAGGTTTCCTTAATGTCATGTATACTTATAAGGTAAGGTAGAAGTCGGATCGGCTCACTTGGTTGTGAATGCGCTTTCGCGTAACCTAACAAAAAATGTCGCGTCTCACGATTGTGACGTCGCCCTTTTATGGTACACTAAATACAGCAAGCGGACCAGTGTTTGGTCGTAGAAAACTTGAGAGAACGAGAAGTTTGAACTCAAATACTGCTTTACGGAAGCATTTGGTTGTGTCTGTATGACCTGTAAATCTGAATTTAAAGCTTCTTATATTGAGGCACTGACCCAACCGACAATCAGTGCGAGGTGGCGCCTCAAGATAAAGAATTCATCACAGAACACTGTGCGAATCACCTATTCGGACGAATAGGTCATACTGTTCGGTGAGCGCTATTGCCTGGTGGTACAGCATGTATGAGTGAGAGAGCGCTTGTATGCACAAGTTTCAACGGGTGAAATTGTTGCCGTATTTGCCGGAGTTTGTCTATTCCGATGGAATGTCGTCAGCCCATACATAACGACGTTGTTTTGGTCTACTAAAAGGCGCGTCCAAAAATATCGGCATTCTGCTCTTCGTGGTCCGCGTAAGCAACATGGTCTATCTCGCCGTTATCAGCAATACCATTTCCGGTGTGGACACAGCCAAACTACAGACCGACCAGGTTTTTCACCAACATGGCTTGCCGGTAGCAGTTGAATTGGAATGAAATTCGAGTTTTATCTCTTTTCCTTTTGGTATTGATTTTAATAACCGCTCTACATTAGACACCGTCATGAAATGACTCCAGGTCTAAAAGAAAGCTGTCGATTCGATTCGACTTGCTAAAATCAAACAAGTTATATCTTCTTGCAAAGTCACAGCCCGTCTTTCGATGTGATTGAGCATCCGCTCAGGGCTAGAAACGCAGAAGTATCATGCAAAGGCTAGAGGTAGACATAGCACACATGTCTGATTTTCGATAAAATAAAAGTGGTTCCCCTACCTATACTTGAACAATCTGCTGTCTTATTTGTAACCCCGCAATATCGGATCGTTCCAGACCGTAGCCAGAAAGATATTGAGCTGCGCTGTCATTTTTTGATTAGAAGGCGAACCCATCTTGTGTTCTGCATGGTCTTGCTCAAGCCATACTACCAACTTGTTCTTACGAGCCGTAAGGATGTGAAGCGCTTGTTAAAGATGAAGCAACATATTATCCACCACCTATAGCTAGACTACCTTTCGTAGAAGGTTGGCGAAATTTGAAGAGATTCACAACCGATAGAGCTCATTGAAGCTAGCCTTTGGAGTGTCGTCCTCTGCAAGGCATTGCTCGATAAACAATGGGTGGGTCACTTCTGCGTGAAATGGATAGTGGGCCAGCGGATTCACTAGGGCTGTATCCAGTATCTGGAGAAGTCATAAAAATTGAAATCCGACTTTGTGAAATGCCCTCGCGCCATAGTCGCTACAACGTCGAGGTGCCCTCTGCATTCGTTGCCTCGAGAGAAGAAGCAAGATTGCTCAGCGTAACGCGCTCCCGCCTTGTTCCGAACTGAAGAATTGGTCGGTAGCAATACCGGTAAGATTGCACAGCTGAAGCACCTGCTGCTCAAAAGTATGGTGTTTAAACCCATCCAATGCGAAAGGGCCGCCGCTCACCTTGTATAGAGAAAGCTTATACTTAGAGAATTTGCGGAACACCAGGCAGAAGACGTGCTCGTACGATCCACCTAAAAGTATCATCGAGAGCTTTGAGGAAACTGAGTAGTCATCTGCTTTTCCTTAGATTTGGAAGTGCCATTGATAAAGGTCCAAATCGTATTGAAACAGAAAATGATTTTTTTGCTATTCAGTATACTTAAAGCACTTCTTGATGTGAGGCTAGTCCCAAGAGAGCTTTCGGCTTCAAACTATGCACGAATGCACAACAGAGTTACAAATACGGCGGAATATCACCCCAATATAATTTCTTTCAACGCGTTGTGGACCACATCCGTTTCCACGTTTTTGGTAAATATAGATATAGTTGGTTTTACCGCAAAGAAATGCAGTTTACATTTCATACGGAAAATTAATCAGCTTTGGGTTAAGGTTACAGTTACTTAGATAAACAAGTTTCATTGCTCTTTTAGGGGGTGCTTTCCTTTTTACTGCTGACTACAATATGGACTTGATATACATTTGCAGTTTTTCTGTGGGGCCGACTAATCGGTCAAACTAGTATACTGAAACCAAGTCAAAATGTAAACCTGATATAACCAGCTTTGACTCGTTGTCCGGTGTATATTTGGGTGTCTTGTGGCTAAGTGGTCAATAATTGGTTTGGATCAGTTTGGTCCCTGGATCAATATCGGCCGCATGGAAATCTTAAAATTAAAACCCGACAATTTGAATCCGAGAACTTTAGGGTTGGGAGTCTACGAAACCAAAATTGAGAAGCTCAGGGTAATTGTCGCGTGTGAGCGCTTCTCGGGACTCGAGACATAATCAAGGAGCTGGCATATTCTGATCTACCTTCAGGTAAGTCACAATATAGTCAGGCTTGGAGTTTGACGGGTGGAGTTTGCTCCCACCCAGGTATCATAAGCCACATCAAGGAGGCAGATGGGATTAATTCTTGTGTACGAACGTTCCCGGTTGGCACTCTCGACTTGGTGTAGCTCTACTCTCTGCCCACAAGATGCTTAGTCATTCGGTGTTGCTGGACTGATACAAAACCCGTGTCTTGTATTAGCTGTTTAAGCTGACGCAAAAAGAGTGCAGAGTGATGATGGGTTTTTAATTGCAGTTCGTATTGGTACGCCTGGAGGTGGAGCTTGAGTAGCGCTGTTATTCGAGCTCGCGTGTCGATATAATTTGAGACTTGGTCATGGAACCGAATCTCATTGCGATGCATCCAAATGTAGCGGGTTACAATGGCTCGCACAATGTTCAACACCACAACGAGAGTTTTGGCCTCTTGGGTAGGCTGGAGTCTAAAGAAGTACACAAGTGTTCCCCAGGAAAGCTCGCTTACAAAACTTCTTTGGAGAGGCTGGTGAAAAGAGGCTTATAACCGTGAGGCAAAGGGGCAAAGCCGGAACAGGTGCTGGGGGTCTCAAGGTGTTCAAAGTCGAAATGGCAAGTTGCCTTGGCGTCTTGGATATGCTGATAAATACAAGATGTTGTGTTGGAGTCGAAAAAGAAAGTCAGCATAGACTGGGAGGAGATGCTTGTCTAATTTTAGGTCTCGTTTCCAGAAGTCGGGTCCAAGGGCTTCCGAGATTCCTAATCGCTGTAATGGCAACGCAGGAGGCTTGGGAGATTTAAGCACGTTCCGAATTTTAGCAACTGTGAGGTCTTTGTGGGGTGCTCTCCAATAACTCAGTTATGGAAAGCACTTGCTAATACTTGACTTGGAGGAGGGCCGTGGGGTAAATGATGGAGTACCGAAGCGCGATATCATAGTCTAAGACAAAGTTCCTGCAATATCGTGTTACTTAGAGTAAACGGATTGCATTCCGCTTAACTCTTACTGGTTCTAAGTATAGAATGAAGGTCACTGATCATAACCAAGCATCCTCAAAGCGAAAATCTACGGCATCCCGCTGCACCTACGGACAATTTAGAACTTTAAGTTTGCACAAAAAGCACATCAGAGTTACGTATACGCACACCATACAACGAAAAACACCCCAATACAATATTTTACAACAATATGTAGACCACACCGATTTCCACGTCTTGTTCTTACTATTTCAGACATTGCAAGTCTCAACATTTTCTTAGTGCTGCCATATATCACCGCGACCCAAAAGCCGAATCGGTGAAGAGGATGATCTAAAGTCATTATAGGAGAGGAGACCGACGTAATATCCAACGAAAATGGTTGCACAGTTCTATGCTGCTTGACTGAATGCGTCACGCATAAGATATAGTATTCTCACAGTTCTATGCTGCAAAAAACGGACATTATGGGCCTGATTGGTGATGTGCGCGAAGATTCAGTATATCTGAAGACCTATTGTTATGTTGAAAGAACTTGATATATTTGGTACTGGTGATTAACAGTGCTCGCTGCAGCAATTAACTCAGTCTTCGTTGGCAGATCCGCAAAAGGTGAGCTGAAATTTATTCTTTATCATCTTTAAGCTGATCTCCACACCTTACAATAAATTATGCACTCGGACTTACAAATTTAACAACGGTGTCATCAAATTACATGTGCCTATTTCTTAGAGCGGTTTGGAGATGAACTCCTTGATATTTTCAAAGCTGATTTTTTGCCGTAAATCGCAATAACAGACTTAACGCCGCTAGATGGCGAAATAATAGTGTACTTTGAAAACAAATTATTCATACCCCCACCTGCTGTATGAGTAGATTCCACCGATAAGAAGCAAAATGATTGCATTTATATAGATACAACTATTGTGTCAATGGAGAAAAACCGAGGAGAAATTGATTGTGTTTCATGAGGAACGCAAACGATAGCTTTTGGTGGTCGATGAAACAATCTGAGTCAGGATAATCGGATGCTTCTTAGATGATGCAATTTGAAATACACTTTAGCAAGAATAACTTCCAATCTGAGTGCAATATTTTAATGTTAAGTTTGTCTAGCTACAGACAAAAGATAACAAGCGTCATCCGATATCTTAAAACTTCATACAAGAAGCACAAATTTATTGCCGGCTTGTACTCAAAGGAACGGTGACGTTTGGCCTGTCATTAAGAATTACTCGAGCTGTGCTGGCCCTTACCGGACATTCAGCCGTTATTCTCACCTACTTTTCATCATTATCTTGTCAAAGTTTTAATTATGAGACTCGGTACATGATTGTCAGCTAGAACCTTTCCACGAAATTAATAAATTCTTTAGCGAACATCCATTCAATTTGGCTAGCTTTGAGCAACGACAGCATGAAGCTTTCTGAGGTTGCCAACGTTCCTTCTCTGTGAAGTCAGATTCACTTAAAAGGGTGCAACATATTAAGGGCAGCAAGGCTTTCAGCGAATAAGTCAGCGAGGTCCTGCAACAAGTTGTTTACTCAGCGATCCTAAAAACTTTCATGTCTTTGAATGTTTGATGAGAAAGTTGCTTGTCTGCAACCAGAAAGCCAAGGTCTTATTGAGCTTGAACATCACACGCCGTCTAGTAATTGTAGTTAAAGGATTGCTCTTTTGCGCCAAGATGTTACGTATCAACGCAATTCACTGTAGACTACAAACTACTGATACATGCATAGGAAACGGCAGCAATGGCAATTGCTGTTTGGCAAAGATCGAATTCATATGTATCGTGTTTCTGACAGCGTGTGAAGCATGTCGTATATTAAAGAATGCTGACCAGTCGGGGGGGCTTTGTAGCTGAATGTTGAAGTGTGTTCACTTTATGCCGAAGACCCTCGACATGAGCAACCAGAGACTGCACATAGGTTCAAAAAATATTTACATGTACCAATGATGCGTTGATCCAGTATGCAATCGTACAGCTTGCTATCTGAGACCGTGTATAGCGTGCTTATGTGATGAGAGGTCGTGCCATGTGATTCCTTAGGCCACCAGGTCCACTGTGAACGTCAATCTGCTGGAAGTCACTCCTCATTGGAAAAAGCCACCAAATCGAAGCGGAGAGATCGTGACAAAGTCAAGTGCGTGAGCAGCCTGCACGAAGAAGTATCAGCTTTAGCTCTGTGTTTGCTGTTTCCAGTTCCGCACTATTGTGTTACTTGCAGCCGTCATATCCCGAAGCAGCAGATAACGATGCTGACGTTTAAGTTGCGCCTCCAGAACGCCGTCTGTTGTAAGACTTTCAGCGGTCACGGGGTGCTTCGCGACCAAGCTTCCAACTGAGAACGAGCAAATTTTGCATCATCTGCCATATTGTCACCATCGCTGTTGCAATTGACACGTGCTGAGTGTAGCATCACAATCAAAAGAGCACCACCGTCTGGGACAAGAGCTGACCACAAAGCATTCTCGAACATTGCTATCATGCGTTTTAGCCGTCGGAAAAACGACAAACTCCACGAGCGCGTCATCATCACACGACTGTGCGAACGTCATGCTGAGATGGATCACTGTCTCAATACGACCAAGAAGTTAATTCTCAATGAGAAGCTGACAGTCGCGATTCCGGTTCGGCACCACCAGTGTCGACTTGGATCTTTACACCGGAGCCCCTGCAAGACTCTTCCACAAGCCCAGGCTGATCGAAGAATGTGCCCATGCTGGTCTTATGTTCATTCAGACACACATAATCCTCTCCATCCAACCCTTGCAGGTTACCAAATGATGGATGGTCAGGAAGTAGAGCGTAGACAAAGTTTCGCCTTGGTTTGATCCTTGCGTAAGAAACAGCGCTTACTGGATGTTTTGATTGATTATAAGATGTGTTTGTGGATCGGTTTACAGCAGTCTACAGCAGGGTTACGTGCACTTTGCATACTTGTACGACTTTATATCATCCACAATCCTTTCAAACGTGAACACCATACATAGAAATACTCGAACGGCATGTCAGACAAGTAGAGGTGAGACTTATGAAGAGAAAGAGTTCAATCCATGAGAAAGAAATGAGCAATATATATTTATCCTTGGAGTTTTCGCTTCTTTAGCGAATTCTGAACAACAGAGGCAACAGTAATTGTCTCAGCATTTCGACCTTTCCATTGCATAAAGTCTTTAGCGTCACGAATCCCAGCATCAAAAATTTTCTTCTCGTTCTGCGTGAGCTTGCGAGTAAATTCCGTCGTGTCCTCTTCCAATGAGCTCATTGCGTTATTAAGAAGATCGCGATAGCGTTCGCCACCAAAGCAAAGACGCAAGATTTCGTCAATCTCGCTTTGTTCGTCCTCACTTATGTATGGCAATAACTGGCGTCCCACCTCGAGCACATGGCTTGAGAATTCTCGTAAATTTACGGATGACGGACCAGCTTTAAGCATGCGCCGGAAGCGCTTGGACAAATAATGTGGTGGCGTCACTGTAACGTCACCGCGCATGGCTAGCGGCCGGGCGAGCCACAGCGGCAGGTCGACCACAGTCTTCTCCGGCAGATC